AGCACTGTGCATGCATTTTTGATGCAGAAAAAAAAAACACTGGACTGCGTCTAGTGTGAACTAGCCCTAAGTGACAATGCTTTCGGTAATGAATAAGATAGGTGTGCTGTTGATGGAGTACATAGGGTTCATGTTAGACTCAATGAGATTGATTTACTAAAGGCAAATAGACTGTGCACTCTGCAAGTGCAGTTGCACTATGTAAGCGCAGTTGCTCCAGAGCTTAGTATATGAGCTTCACTTTGCAAAGAATATCCAATCATGTGCAAGGAAAATAAAAAACAACATTTTTGCTGGCATGTGATTGGATGGTGGAAGTCAGCAAAGCTTCACCACATTTACTAAGCTTTGGAGCAAATGCCCTAGCAAAGCGCAACTGCATTTGCAAAGTGCACAGTCAATTTGCCTTTAGTAAATCAACTTTATTGTGCTAACATCCATGAGTGCCTGCATTGCTTCTAATGTTTTGTTTTGATTTCTGTGTGCATCCAAAAACACTATATTACTTTTGAGATCAAATATGAGCCCAGGAAGTGTAGAAGTTTGGAGTCCATTTTTCCTTTGAACTCCATTGCCTTTGACTGAGCAGAAGGTTATCAGTGGAATGATACTTTTTATTATTAACAAGAAGCATTGCATATCTTTATCTCCACTGAGACTTGAAGGGCAGTGAATATGCTCATTATAAACTCAGTGCAAAATTAATTATACACAGTTGGTCAGAAATCAGCGCTTTGGGGTCTACTTATAAAGAACTTGCAAATTTAACCAGGCTCACAAATGCCACATTAGCCAGTTTGCAGACCAAGCTGACATTACGTTTTTCCATGTATTATTAAAAGCAGCAACTTAAAGCTGTATTAAATGCTAAACCAAAAATATAATATATAGCAGCTTACCTATCATTAGAGGTGGTGGGTGCATTAGTTTTATTTTTTTTTTGTTCAAACAATTTTATTAACAATAAACCAGAATGACACAAACAAGGAGACATTGCCAATGTATGCTGGACATTGAAGTGGCAGTAGGACATAAAAAAATGAATGAGGGTCAAGGTATTAATGCCTATACATTTCTAACGGAAACAGGTAGATAAAAGTTGACAACAAATCACATTATGGTGCCAGCCAATCAGAGCAATGTCTCCCAAGTGCATTAAAGAAATAGGGGGAAGTTTGGAGGGGGTCAGACAGGGGTGGAAGGGGGGGGAAGGGGAAGAGGAACAACAACCATGACTCCATGAACATTCCTCAAGTTTACAACAGCCCCTACGTGCTACGTACGAAGGGCTATTGACAATATCCTTGGTGCACAGTACAGAACTCAAGGGAGAAGGAGTGATTCGTCAAAGTTAGGTGGGAGGAAGCGCTCTACCCAGGGGCTCCATATGCGTAAGAATTTAGGGACCGTGTCAAGAATTGTGGCTTCCACCTTTGCATGTATCATGGCTTGTGTTATTCTGGTTTTGACGGCCACGACACTTAGGGTGGGGGATTTCCAGGATTTCGCTATAACCTGCTTAGCCGCTGTCGTAACTTGCATAAGGAGCTTGATTGCGAATTGGAGATGCCAGGAGGGCATTGATTGAGTAGGGCTGTTGTTGGGTCGGGTCGTAGAGTGATAGTGCTAAATGTAGATATCATGGTAAAAATTTCATCCCAAAAGATTCGGGCTACTGGGCAGTCCCACCACATATGGTAGTGTGTTCCTGGGTCCGTACAGCCTCTAAAACAGCTGGGCGAGTAATTAGTAGTAATTAGTAAATTTTGTGATTCTCACCGGGACCAAGTACCAGAGGGTTAAAACTTTATAATTCCTTTCCAATGCTACAATGTTCTGCGAAGACGATTTTGTGTTGGCCCAAATGTGGTCCCAATCAGATGGGTCGAATTTCTTACCTAAATCCACTTCCCACATACAGAGGGGGGGACGTGGTAGTCGAAGTGGCGAAGAGTGAGTATAAGCAGGAGATAAGCCCACGCCTATGAGGGTCTTTGCAACACGCTCGTCCAAAGAGAGACATGGTGTCTGGCCGATTGGTTACTGTAGCGTAGGGGGCGTAAAAGTGTTGTATCTGCAAGTATCTAAATGTCTCGGAAGCTGGGAGGCTATGCGTTTCCCGCAGCGAGGCAAAGGATTTAAACTTATTCCTCTGTAGGAAATGATGCGTACGGAGCAAATTAGCAGAGGACCAGGCTTTGAATAAACGGGGTGTCTGCCAGGCCGGGGGAAAAGCTGGGTTTCGTAGAAACGAGAGCATAGGATTATGTAATGATTAGAGGAGATAACGGGTTTTCAGTTTATCCCATAAGGATAAAAAGTGAGAAGTGATGGGGTTGGTTATAGAACGGCGGTCTATTGGCCTCAACCAGAGTAAGTTAGCTGTAGATAAGGGGTCACATTCTATCGATTCAAGTGCAACCCATTGAGGGATTTCAAAGGTTGCATGATATTTAGGTAATTGGGCTAAATGCGCAGCTTGATAATATTTGCTGATGTCGGGTAGGCCTAGACCTCCATTGAGCTTAGGGCGGTATAGGGTGGAGCGAGGTATACGAGGACGAGTATTGCCCCATATATAGGAGAAGATGCGACGCTGCAGTGTGCGGAGATAATGAGGGGGGACTGGGACTGGGAGGACTCTAAACAGATATAGAATTTTTGGGAGGATTGACATCTTGAAAACTGCTATTCTGCCTAGCCATGCGAGGGGAAGGGAAGACCATTTGGTCAAAAGAGCAGAAAGGTGGTTTAGCATCGGAAGATAGTTAGCTGTGTAAAGGTCTGATAACCTAGGAGTCAGCTTGATTCCCAAGAAAGGGATATGACACTGTGACCAAGGGAATGGTAAAATCTGCTTCAGATGCGTCAACTCTATAGGGGGGAGAGAAATGTTGAGTGCTGTTGATTTATTGGGGTTTATTATTAGACCAGAAAGCGAGCCAAACATCTCGAGAAGCCGAAGTTGGGAGGGAGAGGAAGTCAATGGAGATGTAAGAAAGAGCAAGACGTCATCCGCAAAGAGACATAACTTATGGTGTGTGCCCCCTATCTTGTCAGGGCTCCCAGGTATGACCAGAGGTGTGTGACTGAAGCAGGGAAACGCAGACCCCAGACATATCAAACAATATAATTTATTAACACCAACAGTACAAACATAAACGCAGTGCAATACTAAAACATAATACAGTGCAAACAAACCAAACCACCCACAGATAACAATACATACAAGCAAGCGCCGTCAGGCAGGCCGGGTCAATATCAATAAGGCAGGTAGGTACAGGGGGAGCAAGCGGAGATTGGTCAGGGTCACAAGCCAGGGATCAGAACAGGTAGCAAGCAGCGTGGTACAGAGGGTCAGACAGAGGGTTGGTCAGGAGCGAGCCGGGATCAGAGCAGGAGAAGTCAGCAGCGGTTCAGAAACAGGATGCAGGACAGAAACAGGATGCAGGGCCCAGGACAAACACACACCAAGGCAGAGTCTGCAAGTCTGGCCATCCTTAAATACACCAGTATCATCAGTTCCAGGTGTTAGCTGGCTGAAAGGTTGAGTCTCTGATTGCTGGGAGCACCCGCTGGCCAGCCCTGGTACTGCAGATCAAAAGGCAGGTGAGTCCCACCATTGCTGGCCAGTCCATTCCTGACAGTACCCCCCCCTCAAGGAGCGGCCTCAGGACGCTCCAAACAGTCCTAGCTGGGAAAAATGTTCCACCGCCCGGGTCTGGTAACTGGCGGGATATCAAAGACTGGCACACCGGGCAGGACTCCGGGCAGCGGTACACCGGGCAGAGGCACATCGGGCTGGACTCCGGGCAGAGGCACACCGGGCAGAGCCACACCGGGCAGAGCCACACCGGGCTGGACTCCGGGCAGAGGCCACACCGGGCTGGACTCCGGGCAGAGGCACATCGGGCTGGACTCCGGGCAGAGGCACATCGGGCTGGACTCCGGGCAGAGGCACATCGGGCTGGACTCCGGGCAGAGGCACATCGGGCTGGACTCCGGGCAGAGGCACATCGGGCTGGACTCCGGGCAGAGGCACATCGGGCTGGACTCCGGGCAGAGGCACATCGGGCTGGACGCCGGGCAGAGGCACACCGGGCAGAGGCACATCGGGCTGGACGCCGGGCAGAGGCACATCGGGCAGGACTCCGGGCAGAGGCACATCGGGCTACCAGGCGGAGCGGCAGGCACCGAGGCAGGCACCGGGCCCCCGGGCGGGGCGACAGGCCTCGGGCCCCCGGGCGGGGCGACAGGCCTCGGGCCCCCGGGTGGAACTACAGGTCTCGGGCCCTCAGGCGGAGCGGCGGGTGCCGGACCCCCAGACGGAGCGACAGGCCTCGGGCCCCCAGGCGGGGCGACAGGCATCGGGCCCCCAGGGGGGGCGACAGGCATCGGGCCCCAGGCGGGGCGACAGGCATCGGGCCCCCAGGCGGAGCGGCGGGCGCCGGACCCCCAGGCGGAGCGACAGGTCTCGGGCCTCAGGCGGAGCGGCGGGCGCCGGACCCCCAGGTGGAGCGACAGGTCTCGGGCCCTCAGGCGGAACGGCGGGCGCCAGACCCCCAGGCGGTGCGACAGGTCTCGGGCCCTCAGGCGGAGCGACAGGTCTCGGGCCCCCAGGCGGGGCGGCGGGCGCCGGACCCCCAGGTGGAGCGGGGGGCGCTGGACCCCCAGGCGGAGCGACAGGTCTCGGGCCCCCAGGCGGAGCAGCGGGCACCGAGTCACCAGGCACGACAGTGGGCTCCGAGTCAACTGGCATGACCGCTGGCACTAGGTCAGACATTGGATCGTCTGGCTGGACAGCGGGCATCGGGTCACCAGGCATCAGGTCATTTGGCTCGACAGCGGGCACCGTGTCATCTGGCAAGGCAGTGGGCTCCGAGTCAACTGGTATGACGCGGGCACTGGGTCAGACATTGGATCGTCTGACCGGACAGCGGGCATCGGGTCACCAGGCATCAGGTCATTTGGCTCGACCGCGGGCACCGCGTCATCTGGCAAGGCAGTGGGCTCCGAGTCAACTGGTATGACCGCGGGCACTGGGTCAGACATTGGATCGTCTGACCGGACAGCGGGCATCGGGTCACCAGGCATCAAGTCATTTGGCTTGACAGCGAGCACCGCGTCATCTGGCAAGGCAGTGGGTTCCGAGTCAACTGGCATGACCGCGGGCACTGGGGCAGACATTGAATCGTCTGGCTGGACAGCGGGCATCGGGTCACCAGGCATCAGGTCATTTGGCTCGACAGCGGGGCACCCGGTCATCAGGTACCGGATTGTCTGGCTCGACAGCAGGCATCGGGTCACCAGGTATGACAGCGGGCACTGGGTCACCAGGCATCAGGTCATTTGGCTTGCAGCGGGCACCGCGTCATCTGGCAAGGCAGTGGGCTCCGGGTCACCAGGCATTGGATCGTTTGGCTCGACAGCGGGCATCGGGTCACCAGGTATGACAGCGGGCACTGGGTCACCAGGCATCAGGTCATTTGGCTCGCCAGCGGGCACCGCGTCATCTGGCAAGGCAGTGGGCACCGAGTCACCAGGTACGACAGCGGGCTCTGAGTCAATTGGCACGACAGCGGGCACCGGATCATCTGGGATCAACAGCGGGCATCGAGTCAACTGGCCTAATAGGATCGTCAGGCTGGATCAGTTCATCATGCTGGGTAGAGGCATCAGGCTGAATGCCGGCGTCCGGCCGAGTAGAGGCTTCAGGCCGAGTAGAGGCTTCAGGTCCGAGTAGAGGCTTCAGGCCGAGTAGAGGCTTCAGGCCGAGTAGAGGCTTCAGGCCGAGTAGAGGCTTCAGGCCGAGTAGAGGCATCAGGACCGAGTAGAGGCATCAGGCCGAAGAGAGGCATCAGGGCCGAAGAGAGGCATCAGGCTGAAGAGAGGCATCAGGCGGAGTACAGGCATCAGGCCGCGTACAGGCATCAGGCCGCGTACAGGCATCAGGCCGCGTACAGGCATCAGGGCCGAGTACAGGCATTCAGGCCGAGTAGAGGCTTCAGGCCGAGTAGAGGCTTCAGGCCGAGTAGAGGCTTCAGGCCGAGTAGAGGCTTCAGGCTGAACCACGGAAGGCAGGCTCACCGGTTTGGATACTGGCAGGATGGTATATTGGTTGGAAGAATTTTCGCTTTTTTCTGGTTTTAACTACTGGAGCATGCAAGTAAACGCAGGTCTGCAAACGAATGGAGCAGCTGGAGACAGAGAAGAACTGGAGGATGGAACAGGAGAGGGAGCAGTTGCTACAGAGGGCTTTTTTACAGGGTTAAGGCAGGATAGGTGCAGCGAGTGGGAACAGGGTACTGACATGCGGTAGATAGCCAAGTATACTGGGCTGTAACTGGAGGAGCTGTTGGGAATACAGGAGTAGAGTTAGAAGCAGGACTGGGTCTTTGTAAGCTGACTGAGGCTGGGTGCAACAAGTCTGTCCATGTCTGCAGTATGGGTTGAACAAAGCTGAGCTTACACAAAGCCTGTCTGGTCAATGACTGCACTGCGTTTATACAATCTCTTAGTGTCTGTGGTGAACATGTGGAATAACGCTCCAGAAAGTAACCCACATCATCCTCTAATAACCACACCAGGGACTCTACCTGGTCTGCACTAAATGGTGGCAAAAATTCATCCCTGCATTCGGGGGAACCAGATGAAACCAACTCTGCACAAACCTCAATCAAAGGCTGCACCTCAGAGAACTCTGTGCCCTGATCTACTAGAACATGAGCGAGCCGTATACATTCTAGCAGTTCATCCCGGGTATACTCCTTCAGAGTTTGATAAGCATACTCCCTGTCATCAAACACTAGCAGATATAAATACGCAACCTCATCCAGATCCATCCTTCCCATCAACAAGCCAAGATGGCTTCCCTGTGCAGCCACTTCTGGTCAGGATTGGCCTTGGTGTAATGTCAGGGCTCCCAGGTATGACCAGAGGTGTGTGACTGAAGCAGGGAAACGCAGACCCCAGACATGTCATAAACAATATAATTTATTAACACCAACAGTACAAACATAAACGCAGTGCAATACTAAAACATAATACAGTGCAAACAAACCAAACCCACCCACAGATAACAATACATACAAGCAAGCGCCGTCAGGCAGGGCCGGGTCAATATCAATAAGGCAGGTAGGTACAGGGGGAGCAAGCGGAGATTGGTCAGGGTCACAAGCCAGGGATCAGAACAGGTAGCAAGCAGCGTGGTACAGAGGGTCAGACAGAGGGTTGGTCAGGAGCGAGCCGGGATCAGAGCAGGAGAAGTCAGCAGCGGTTCAGAAACAGGATGCAGGACAGAAACAGGATGCAGGGCCCAGGACAAACACACACCAAGGCAGAGTCTGCAAGTCTGGCCATCCCTTAAATACACCAGTATCATCAGTTCCAGGTGTTAGCTGGCTGAAAGGTTGAGTCTCTGATTGCTGGGAGCACCGCTGGCCAGCCCTGGTACTGCAGATCAAAAGGCAGGTGAGTCCCACCATTGCTGGCCAGTCCATTCCTGACATATCTCGAGTCCCCTGACATCCGGGTTAGCTCTACTTAAGAGGTCCAGGGGCTCTATAGCCAGAGCAAAGAGCAAGGGTGTAGTTTTATTTTTAATTTTTTTCCCTCTGTTTTCACCTGATGATCTGGCCAGTAACACACCTTCTGTATTACCATACCCCCACTCTGGATGAAGGAGCCATAGAAACACCTTTGGACAGCAGCATTGTTAATTTGCATGGGGGGGGGTAGATGTATTAGCATATTTAAATTCACATTCAGATTTAAATTTACAGCATAGTTTTTTTTTTCTTTTGGGAAAATGGTTTTTTTTCATGAATAAATAAAAGCTTATCATTGAAAGCACCCCTGTCAGTGGTAAATGGTTTGCTCCAACAGTCTAATTGCTACATTGCAGGATAATTTGGTCTGTTGAAAAACAACACACGTACTAGCTGGATAACCAGATTACAATAAAGGAAAGAAAGCCTTAAAAAGAAACCTTATGTAGCCACCACATCTATGAATTAGCAAGCTACAATATAATACATTTTTTGTTTTGGGCTTAATACCACTTTATAGAACGACAAACAATAAATGTGAAATAAAATGGATTTTATAAAGTTCAGAAACAAAACTGTCACATTTGTGGAACAATCCTTCAACTATTCAGAAATAAAAAGAGAACACTTAAAACAAAATGCAGAAACAGCTTAAAGGTTGGCAAACAATAAATATAAATTGGATTTTAAAAGTTTAGAATTAACTGTCACATTTTTTGCATAATGTTCCAACTAAATCAACAAACGGAAAAAAAAGAGAAAACCCAAAACAAAACTCAGAAAATTATACAGAAGACGAGGGAGGGGTTTGCTTCACAAGCCATTATGTGTACCATTGATACAGTGACATGAATCCTGCAATTTTCTTCTTGCTAATTCCAGTTGCGCAGCCTTATAAATGTGGCAATTAGCAATAAAATACAGAAAAAAAAGTTCACTGAAAAGTGTTAAATTAATGAACGAGTTATGGACTGATGAACACACACTTGGACAAGATTTTTTTAAATAGATAATATTGATTTATGGCATAAAAAATAGGCACACATTTTATTTAATAAGTCCCTTAACTTATTACCAATTAATATAGTTCTTTAAATATAAAAATTATTGTCTTTTACAATGAACGCATTTAATGGTCCGTATTTACCAGTATTACATAAAATAGTTTAAATTTTTCTTGTGTATTTAATCATAATCTGCATAGTGTTCCTTTCATTTTTATTCCACTGTCTGCTTTTTATTTTTGTGAGAAAATACTGAGGTTAACAAGGTCTCTGAAAAAAAAATATTGAGATGAAAAGGTCTATGATAGTTTAAAGGAATTTCTGTAACCCTGAGCAGCCATTTAAAATCCATTGGGTAGATTTACTAAAACTGGTGCACTCAGAATCTGGTACAACTGTGCATGGTAGCCAATCAACTTCTAACTTCAGCTTGTTCAATTAAGCTTTGAGAAGAAAACCTGGAAGCTGATTGGCTTCTCTGCAGAGTTGCACCAGATTTTGCACTTTCCAGTTTTTGTAATTAACCCCCAATGTATCCTTAAAAAAAAAACTATTAACTACATCAATTTGGCCTTGCCCATTGAACCAAATCCATTTACCCACAATAGGATTTTGGGGAAATTAAAGCAGGAATAAATGTAAGAACTAAGAAGTGCGAGCAGGCAAGTTTTTTTATTGGAATAAAAACGGTGGATATACGAGCGCTAGGGTAGCATAAAGTAAATATTAAAATATAAAATCAGCCGCCAGCATATAAAGGAAATACCTGAATCCTCTAATGTATAGTACAATAACTGAAAAGAATGCAGCGCTTCATATTGAAGGTAAACATGACATGAAAGAATAAGTAAAAGTCTTAAAATGTGCAACGTGGCATTCGTGGTTCTTTAGATGGTTATATGAAATAACGTGACTTCCGTGGTTCATGAGAAGTGAGTATATAATGTACTAACCAGATAGCACATGTTTATGTGCGTTGGAGTAAATAAGACCTACTCCAGAGGTACTCTGGGAACCGGAACTCTGCAAACAGGTGAGGTCGTCAGATGGGGTTTTTTTTTATTGCAGACATGCAATGTCTCTAGTGCAATAAACTACACTTACCTGCTTGCTCACAATCCTCTGCAGAATGTACACTTATGCACAGCTCATTTTACATTCTGGCACATTGCCAGTTACATAGTTACATAGTTAGTCTGGCTGAAAAAAGACAAAAGTCCATCCAGTTCACCCGTTAAAAAAAAAAAAAAGTTATAATCCTACACCCACAGTTGATCCAGAGAAAGGCAAAAAACCCCAGCAATTGATTAAATTTGCTCCTGCTGGGAAAAAAAATTCCTTCCTGATCCCCTGAGAGGCAATGGGATATTCCCTGGATCAACTTTACCTATAAATGTTAGTATCCAGTTATTTTCTGTGTATCTAAGAAAGAATCCAGGCCTTTTTTAAAGCAATCCACTGAGCTGGCCAGAACCAACTCTTGAGGGAGTCTATTCCACATTTTCACAGCTCTCACTGTGAAGAAAACCTTTCCGTGTTTGGAGATTAAATGTATTTTCCTCCAGACGTAAAAAGTGCCCCTTGTCCTCTGTGATGACCTCAGGGTGAATAGCTCTACACCGAGTTCACTATATGAACCACTGATGTATTATACATGGAGATCATATCCCCCCTTAATCTCCTCTTCTCAAGAATGTGTAGGGATGACCGCATTCCCACACATGCACAGGAGTGACGTCATCTTCCCTTTCCTAACAAAACAGCCGAAGACCAGCCCTTGGAAGAAACCCAGGGAGAAGATGTTTATGCCAGTGAGGGATCTCATGAGCATTGGACTTTTGGAACTAAGGTAAGTATTTGAACCTTTACACCACTAAATATCTCAATTTCACTCATCCCTAACTTCCAGCTGAAACTTTTTATTTGTTTTGGATAGAGTAGAGAAGGGTGGAAAACTGTTTATAATGCTCCTGTTTTTTAATCTTACCTAAAATACACTGACCCTGACCTTTTACCCCAACCCTTGACCATGACCTTTGACTCTGACCTTGACCTTACCCTAACCCTGACACTGA